TATGAATTCTCTACAAGGCTTGATCAATCATTCGAACCATTTGCCACGAGACCCTTTAAGCACCAAATCTGAAAAGAGAGGGGACAAATATCGTTTGAAGACAACGATCACGTGTTTGAGCCTTTAATTTCATACCATTGAAGTTGTTTAATCATATCGCATTCAAGCTTTCTACCGTGATTCCGGTTTGAGAACTTGCGATGTTCCGTAACATAAAGATAAGTTCATCTTCTTCTTTTTGTTATTTTCATTATTGAATTTAATTGGTGGTTTCATTCATCATGTTGTTTTAATCTTGATTTCTTATCCATTTCCTCTCATAGGGAAAATATTCCTAACATAAGCTGCAAATTTCTCCGCTCAAACACCATTCATTTTCATTCACCTGCCACCTTCTGAGAAAAAACCAACAAATTTTTTGTCTCGCACAAGGGACTGAAAAAAACATTTAGATTTAGATATTTCAAACATTTTTTTCTTGTTTTTTCTTACAATTTTTGTTGTGGAAAAATGGCATAGATAAATTCGGCAAAAAAAAAAAAAAAAATGATGTTTATATCAAGGAAGAGGAGGAGAAGAAGGAAATGATGTTGATTCTGCAATTTTCAATAGATATGGGGGTATATCACAAATAGAAACGTTTTTAGGGATTTTTAGCTATTAATCCCTTCATAGAATGTATATTTACTTTGTCTTAAATATATTTTAAACATTGCTCTATGTTTAAAAGCAACCAATTTGTAAATTAAGTGAAAGTGAAATATTAATTTCAATTTCATATGTTATAACTATTATTTGTTTATATACACACATTTCATGGGATCCACTACTATTTCTCTTACAATTTTTCTTTGAACCATTTATAAATTTGCAAAACTAAGGCTAAAAAATCGCCATGAGTGTTGTTGATTACAAATTGGATTTTCTATCTATTTTGTATTCCTAATTATTACAAAAAAAATTCCATAATAAGTACTCCAATTAGAGAAAGCCCTCAATTCAAATGTCGGACAATATTAGGTAGTGAGATCAACCATTTTCACATGTATGTAAACTTCTTCAATTGACATAAATCAAAAACAGTATGGCATCATCTGATATTATTATAACTTTATGTGCATAGTGATTTGACATTAATCAAACATGGTATAAAATGATAAGGAATAATATATAATTATCAGATAAATTTTACCTAATGAGCTCCCAATTAAACGTGCCCTAAATGAACAGATCTTATTTTTTCTATATTAAACCTCAACATGTTGGTATTATATATAACTTCCAGATAAATAAAATGTGCAAAAATAATATAGAACGTGCTTTCTCTCTCTCTCTCAAGAATATATCGAGTTTTAAAGATTAAGGAAAATAGTTTCTAGATATTATTCAATAATATTATAAACATAAACACATTCCTTTAAATTACTGTATGCTTTTTAATGGATCGCATGTGAACTTAAAATAGTAGTAAAATTAAGAAAATATTTTGTGGAGCGGATTAAGTACATATTCGTTAACCAAAAAAACTATAACATGACACAAATGAATCATAAATGTCATTTAATAACATGATATGAATAGACAAGATAATTTTACCCCAAATACTATAACACGACACAACGTGTGAGCCTCGTTACTCCATTACTTTCACTCCAAACTCCCCCCAAAAAAAGAAAAAAGTTATATTTCCCCACCAAATTCTTCATGCATTTTTCCACTCCTCCACTGTCATTCTTGGCAGTTAATTGTAGATTTCACTCCTTGCACCCTCACCCAACCTTGTCTCTAGCTTATATATTGACTTGCTTTGAGTCGAGCTCACTCTCAATCAAGTTAAAAGTTTCGAAGAAAAGTTGAAACTTTGTTAGGGAAAAACGGTATATTGTTGGCCAGCATAGTGTTGTTCGTGGCAATAAGAATGACTTGCTGGCATATGAGTCTGAAAAAGATGGTTTTTTTCATCTGTGTTCTCTTCATCATCCTCTCAGTGGGTGTTCGTTGGACACCTTATTTTTCATCTATTTCCATATTTCCATCACCAAATGGTGCATCTTCTAATTATCGCATTTCATGCGTTGATATCCTCCATAGCATCGTGTACAAAGATAGACCTGAATGTGTAGGTTGTACAAAATCTTGGTCATGGATGCAGTCGAGTCCAGTAGCCAAATGTGAGTTCAAGAAGTTGGAACAACCCGATGCCTCGGTTATGCTAAACCGGTCATGGGTTGTTTTTGCCGGGGATTCTCAAACCAGGTTAGGGATGCTATCTATGTTAAAGTTGGTTGAGGTGCCGGAGAGAGTACGGATAGTTAAAGAGCAATTGAAAAAGTTGAAAACAGATTATTCAACATATATTGATTCGATTGGAATGAAGTTGGATTTTAAGTGGAAACCATATGCTAGAAGGTTGACAAAGTTAATGCTGGAGTTCAAGAAAAACGAAAAATACCCAGATATTATAGTGATGGGAGCAGGGTTGTGGGATATGTTGTACGAGAATAATGCGTCGGATTACGATGTTTCATTGAGGAGTTTAAGGAATTCTTTGCAGGATTTGAATAGCAAAGATGGGAAGGTGCCACATTTATTCTGGCTTGCAATGCCAACGTTGATAAACTCGAAATTGACATCAGAAGATAAGAGGCACAACTTAACGGAACCAAGGCGCATTAGATACGATAACAAGGTTAATGAAAGTAAGATTTTAAACAAGTTTGGAGGGCCACTTCTGAAACTGGATATCCATTATTTGAGTGAGCTATGTGGACCTCAGTGTACAAAAGACGGACTGCATTATGATGATGTTGTTTATGACATTGCTGTTCAAATCATGCTCAATGCTGTGCTCATTGAATCTACTCACAAGCCACCTTTCTGATGCGATTTCAGTTTTCCAAAAAACCAGGAGAGTCGTTTCTTTTTAACATCTTCGTGCCAAAACACTCCCAGGCACAGACTTGTAAGATAACAAAATAATTGTTTTACAAAATTTTAGTTTTATTTGCGACTTTTTTACATCTTCGTGCCAAAACACTCCCAGCAACGTAAGTTGTCGGCGGTTCCATCCCTAGCTTATGGCTATTGATTCTTCTGATCAACATCTGTTATTTGCCACTTTTGGCTCCGATTTCTACTCATTTGAAGCCAATGCTTGTTCTTGAACCCTTGATTTTCACAGCGACTTTCCTTGCTTTCTACTGTTTAATAAAAAGAATATAAATTAGGGAAGAGTTATCTGAATGAGGAATGAAATTATTTGAAAAACGTGCATTTTAGCAAGTAGTTTCCACTTTCAAAGATAATACTGATATTAATGACGCGTTTGAGATCGCATTTTTAAGCGACGGAATAATGAGCAAGATTTTAACTGTAATCACCGTTAATTCAATTGAATAATAAGAATTAGACTATCAAATATTCATCGATTCACTAATAATATTAAATATTGGAAATTTTAGGAAATGTTCAAATTTTCATTAATAAATAACCAAGTTACAATGAACTCTAATTCTAACTTTTAAACAAAATTAAGAAGTATTAACTTACTATTCTAAACAAAGAAAAACTTAAGGAAATTAATCTAAACAAATCTCCTAATAATATTAAAAGTGAAAGAAATAAATAAAAATCAATTTACACCTGAATAAATATTCTAATTTGACAACTTAAATGATGAAATTTGGCCACAAAATCAGTGGGTTAAGGGTTATAATCATGAGTTCAGTTTTGCGGATCGTTTCAACCGAAAAAAAAAAATTATAAATATCCATCCAGTTCCTAAACGGTTGCTTGGGTCAACATATCAATTGAATCACTTTTTCGGACTTCCAATTATCAAACATTAATCACAGCCACTGATAAGTGTACTTTCTACACATATTCGATGTCCTAAACGATGATATTTTACTGTTCTTTGAATAAAATACTACATAACTTGTGTTATATTTCATTTTGTAAGTAAAACTCAATATTTGATAAAGAATTGAAAAAAAGAATACAAAGATAACGGAAAAGGACTCAAAAAAATCATTTTATTACTTGTTAACGAACCGTACACTTGCGGTGTGTTTTACTTGAAATATATTTTCGCGTAACAAGTTTTTGGCGTTGTTACCGAGGATTGAATTTAGTTTAATTTTATTTATTTCAACACTAATTGGAACATGATTTTTTATTTTTATTTATTTTGTTTTAGTTAGCTATTTTTTTTAGTAGTTTATCTAAGTGTTACTTTTGATTTTCTTTCAGGTCTTTTATGCGAATGTCGCTTGAAGGTGACTTGATTCTAGTTTGTCGAGAAATCGAACACACCTTCCATTGTAGGCAAAGAGAAACAAGAGCAGTACAACAAATAAAATCTTCCTTTCATGTAATTCCTCGATAATTTGTTGAACCTCGTTTAATTTGTGTTTACCAAAGTTGCATATGATGCTCCGCATCTTCCGGTTGAATTACAATCAAATTTCTTTCTCACTCATTGGTACGTGTAGGTCTCGATTGATTCCTTTCTTTTGTTTTGTGTGTGCGTGTGCATGTGTGTTTATCTTTAAAATATTTATCACCATTAGTTGGTCTTCAATTAATTGAACCTTTGATAATTGATTCTTATGTTAGAGATAATGCTATACTTCATCATAACTCTTGCATTATCGTCTTGTAGATAATGTTATTTACAATCTCGTATTGCAATGTGTCACGTAATCTGGTGTTTAAGAGATCAATATATTCATCTTTACCAATTTACTATTCATTCAATTTTTGAACTTTGTAAATTCTTTTCAATTTTCTACACCTTAATCATTTTTAATATAGTATTGAAATTGACTATGTATGGTAATATATTTGCTATTTCGTTCTCTTAAGGCAAAGTGAGGAGGTTTCATTTTTTTTACTTTTTAACACCAAATCAGATCTCATCCTTGAAATTGACCAAGATCAAACGCTTGATGTATATACCTAGCATGATTATATATGTATAATGGTTTTCTAAAATGGTGACAATTCTTCATACAATACTCTAGTACACTATTCTAAATGACGTAATATGTGGCGATGCGTGTAGACCAAGTTATGTGCTAGGTGAAATATATACGTAAAAAGACGTTTTCTTATTTTAATATTATTTTAATTTTTAATCAATCAAAAAACCATTTAATAATTAAAAATTAATTTTTGAACTTTGCAAATTCTTTCCAATTCTCTACATCTTAATCATATTTAGAATAGTATTGAAATTGACTATGTATGGTAATATATTTGCTATTTCGTTCTCTTAGGCAAAGTGAGAGATCGTACATTTATTCCAGAATCGTCTATTCTCCGTTTGGGCAACCTAACTTCCAATTGAAGACCAATGTCATATATTTATTCCAGAATGGACATCAGTTTTATGGCAGAGTTGAAGAAAACCCACATACACATGACTCTCGATTCTTGGAAATGTGTCAATGCTTTCGATATTAGGGTATCTCAGATGATGCTATCAGACTAAGGCTGTTCCCACACACGACCTAGCTCAAAAATTCTGTACAAAATTCTTTCCACTGGCTAAAATTGCAAAATTGAAGCATGACATCTCAATTTTCCTTCAAGGTGAATCGAAATCTTTTGATGAAGCTTGGAATCGGTTCAAAAATATGCTAAGGAAGTGTCCTTATCATGGTATTAATAAAGGACTCCAAGTCCAATATTTTTATGCGGGATTGCTTCAATCATTCAAAAGCATGGTGGATTCTTCGTCAAATGATTTATTATCAACAAGAACCATTGATGACGCATTGAAACTATACGAGACAGTCGCGACTACTTTGGCAATGTGCGCATCTGAAGGGTGGTTTAGAGGAAGGTGCCGGTGTATACGAGGTGGATGATTATTCAGCCTTGACCACGAAAATAGACTTATTATTCCATAAGCTTGAGAGCATATTTCAAACAGTTAACGTTGCACAAGCCAAAAAACAAAGTTGTGAGAAGTGTGGAAAAGATCATAACACAGCGGATTGCCCAATTTTAGCACGAAGTATGGAACAAATGGACTTCGTACAATGGGGACAACATCAACGAAACCCACTTTTAGATACATATAGCCCAGGGTAGAGGAACCAACCAAGGGTGGTTAGAATTAGAATAGGCCACAGGGTCAATTTCAGCAACTAGAGAAGATGCCGCAATTGGAAGAAATGTTCAAAAAAGTCATGGAGAAAACAAATTAGTACATGGAGGCTAATAATCAGTTCATGAGGAAGATCGAAACAACTTTCCGAGATCAGAGTGCTGCTATTAAAAACCTGGAGACTCAAGTTGGACAAATTGCATTTTCTATGACAAGCTGAGTACCAGGTACCCTACCAAGCAATACCGAGACTAATACCAAAGAGCAGGTAATGGTCATAAGTATTTTAGGAAATTAAATAATTGAGGATCCATCTGTGAAAGCAATCACTACCAGGAGTGAGGTCCAATTACTGAAACTACATATCAAGAGGTTGGTTACGACTAAGGAAACAGTACCTTCTTCAGATGATGAGAGAGTAGAACAGACTAAACAGACAATAGATGCCTCTACTAAAGAGAGATCGTATACACCACCAGTTAAGGTAATTGTTACTATCAATCCTTACTATTCCATTCCCACAAAAGTTGAAGAGACACGAGCTAGACCAATAGTTTGAGAAGTTTTTGGATGTGCTAAAGAACTCCACATCAATACCCCGTTCATAGACGCAATACAATAGATTCCAAGCTATACAATATTTTTGAAGGACATGATATCAAAGAAGAAAAAGCTTCTAGAATTTGAAATTGTGGCACTAATAGAGGAGAGCAGTGCACAAGTACAAAAGAAGCTATCTCCCAAGCTCAATGATTCAGGGAGTTTCTCTTTACTTATTTCAATTGGAAAAGCTGGTACCTTTAATGCTTTATATGATACAGGTGCAAATATTTATTTAATGCCTTTATCTATATAGAGGAAATTAGGATTGGGAAAAGCAAAGAAAATAACGATGTTATTGCAGCTGACCGATAGAAGCATCACACATCCAAGAGGCAAAGTTGAGGATATACTCATCAAAGCTGGAAAATTAATTTTTTCGGCAAACTTTATTTTTCTAGACATAGACGAAGACAAGGATATTCCAATAATCTTGGGGAGACCATTATTGGCAACATGTCGAACTTTGATTTATATGGAGAAAGTAGATGAGGAACAAGAAATTTTTAAATTATATAATCCATCCAAAAAACCTTCAGCCCTCGACGAGTGTCATTGTATTGATGAAGATGAACTATCCATTCAACAAAATTGCCAGAAGAGAAAATCGAAATTTGGAGGAATTCTTGGTAGAGACGATAATGGAGATTTCACTTAGAGAGCTAAAGAGGATGCAAGGCTGGAAATTGCAAGGAGTACAATTGTGAATTTTTTCGACTTGAACCACCATAAATCAACCGCTATAAAGTTGAGCTATAGACTATAAATAAGCGCTTGTTGGGAGACAACTCAATACTTCTATTCCTTTAATTTATTTACTTGAACCACCATGAATCAACCCTATAAAGTCGAGTTATAGACTATAAGTAATTGTTTGTTGGGAGGCAACCCAATACTTCTATCCCTTTAATTTATTCTGCTTTTTAGGTTTAGAATAATTTAAGATAATTTAGATTAAATTTTTTTTATTATTATCATTCAATTTTAGGAACTTATCATCCATGTCCCATTTTTCATTAGATCTTCGATATGTTAGTGGTTTATTAGATGTTAGAATTAAGTAACACTTGTTCCTGTTATTTGATCTTAATACTTTAGTTGACTGTATTGCATGGAACATGATGTCGCGAAACACTTGAACCAACCAAGACCAAGGAACTAACAGG